ATATATATATATATATATATATATATATATATGTGTGTGTGTGTGTGTGTGTGTGTATAATGCAGGTGGAGACAAGAATTTCAACCACAAACAATGGATTGCTTGCAACCCTAAAGCAAGTTATTCTCCTAACACAACAGATAGAGGTTACAGAAATTGAAGTCAGTGCATATGTAGCGAATTGTTTTTTCTTTATCCACGTCTTATCCGCTTAGTACTTCATGTAATTTCACGAACATAATGGACCTACTCCCATAGTATATTCACTTTATCTATGTACCATGCCCAACCACAATCCCGTTATCAGTACTGGTCTCCCCTAATGAAACCTTTTGCGCTCATGTGTTGCTCTTTTAGATCATGTGATACGGTTTCTCAATCTGTGTTGGGAGAAATCAGAGTCGTTCAAAAATGGTGGTTTATCGGATCGTGTCCACCAAATTCAGTCTCGCAGTGCCACTTGTCAGTGTTTCGGTGCGTCTTGCGCATCGGTTTCTGTCTCACAAAAGCGGAAGGCGAATGCGCGAATTATTGGCCAACCGAGTGCTCTAGATAAAACAAGCAACAGCGCGAAATCGGTTGAAAAACAATCGAACAACAGCTTGTTCCACTCTCTGTCAGCTGCTTCCGCAACTGGGCGTCGTGCTGTGCATACGGCAAACCAAACTTTGAAAAAGTTATCGGTCAGCGCTCGGAAGCAGCAGAAACACACAACCGGTCTATCAGGTTCCATTTTTACCGTTGGAAACATGTCCAAGTTGCAGTCAAATGCCAATGCGGCGTTGATGTGGCGCAATTCGGCACACGGCAAATCCCTGTCGACTGCCACAAATGTCACTCAGTTGAAACTGTCCAAACGAATAGCTGCCAACGATTCTTCATCGCGTCAACCCGCCCAACGTCCGACCTCACTCAAAAGTCCGGAGACAATGGTCGCCATATCACGATGTGCGCCGGTGTCATGGGCTCTTGGCAGTTTCTCGCCTGACAGGTAATGAAAACCAAAAGTTTAGACGCTGGATGAATGATAAATGCCCCCTGTATTGATTTTGAAGTTTCTGTCGATTTATTTTTTACCACAATATCAGCTGCTGCGCAATGTGTTTGGTTTGTCTACAGTCCAGGATCGAAGGCCACGCGNCCAGTCTTCTCTATGCCGGCTCTGATGAAGGATTCGCTGAGAATTTAACAGTAGTCGAGGTAGAACGCGACAGCTCAGCGGCGGAATTTCCATTGGTGACACTGCTGTTAGTACAATCTTCTGAAGAACCATATAGAGATGCAGGTATATGAGGGGGGCTCAGTGGGATATGGGAAAAGACTGGGGAAGCATGATGCTGTGTACGGTGTAGAGTGCAGAGTCATAAAAACAGGAAAGTTCATGATTGTTGTGGTCTGTTGTAGTACTCGGTCGCTCGATCCAGAGTATTCCTTGTCCTAGGGTGCACTGTAGTGTTTGCGCAACCAAGCGCGGACTGCAAGGCAGCAGTGATGTTCTAGATGAGACAGTCTCCAGTTTCTAGTTTGACAGTATTGAAAATCGGTTCCCGTTGCTCGGGTGAACTGAATTCCATTTCGCCTGTTCGCGGAGCTTGATAATTTGTTTGCATACTTGGCATCACCGACCGAGGTGAAATCGTCACCTGACAAGTACTGACGATGTCACATCGGCTGGTGATAGATCGTTTGCAAACAAATTGTCAGACTGAGTGAATAGGCGATGTGGAAGTTTTGGGTTTATTCGCTTCTTCTGGAAAATCTTGTCAAACAATGGATCTCGACAAGGTTCAATGATCATATTTAGTGGTGAGCCACACTCGCCACGTCACAGCGCTGTTCACAGATAAGTGTGATGTTAGGTACGGAAAACCCTTGCTAGAAGGTAACCCCACCACATCCTTGAGCGCTACCGGTGATCGCCCGCAACCACTTATTCGGGGTGGGGGCCTAATCCCTCAAATACGGTTATCCGCCACATGACAGCCGTTCCTCTATCCTCGACCTGGGGACGCGCTCGGTAACATACAGCTCTGCTCTCCCGAATATAACCTTAATAGTACAAATACCCTACTGCGCCGTTGAACTATCTCATTGTGGTGTATGTTGTGACCCCCATCGACTCCAATTGGGTTACCATTTCAATTTTACGAGCTAATAACTGCTATTTCTCTTTTGCTTTGACAAATTACAGAAACTTTCTTGGAACTTACGGCACACAAATTCGGTCTTTTGATTATTGTTTTGAATTTTCAATATATCACTGGTATGAGGTGGTTATGATTTGAAGATAATGACGCCCATTCACTTACAAGCGACGGGCTGACCTCAGTTATTGGTGGACTAGTTTGGGATCACACAATAGAGGAAACAGTAGGGATCCGGAACTGCAACGTGTATGCTCATGCAAATTAGAACTGATACAATTTTTGTTTCTGCCCTGAATATGCCAAATGCGTGCATCGATGCAATAGTGCTTGTTGCTTTGTCTTTCTTACGTTTAGCACGGATGAACGATCGGTCATTCCTCGCACGGCTTCGTCGGAATTGATCGGGAAGGTAGAATCTCCACCAGTTTCTCCAACCAATTCCCCTCTTGTTAAGTCGTCACTTCGTGCATCCGTGGATCATGGCAGTTCCGCCATTCAACATAGTTTCATGTCTGCCGGCATAGTTGCCCGATCGCGATGCAGCGTACCTGATTGCACCATGTTGGTCAGCTCCGAGGAATATCGTCGAATGATCGGTACCTCAGTTTCGTCTTCCCTACCCATACCTTGCGCTATTTCTGATAGCTCTAGTCCATGTCGCCCTCACTCATCGGTGCTTGCTGAAAGTGTGACTTCGGGTACTTGGAATACGGTTAGCTCTGCCGGGCATAACCTTCGGCACGATAGTCCTGCCTTTCACGATAGACTGGAGACAATCGGGTTGAAGGATGTTTCGCCCAAGAATTCGAGTAAGTATTGATACTTATTGACTCGTGCCATTAGTGTCGTTTAGCTAAATGATAGAATGGTTACTGAGTAAGGTTTGCATTAACCTTTTCACGTGAATTGTTATCATTGCCATTTTTTTATTTGATTCACGGTTTGTGTATTCATACTGTCACCGTGCAACAGTTGTGCCCTTACTCTGCAAAATAATACAGTTAATAATTCTTACCTTTGATTTAATATTATATTGACCTGATAAGGACTGTGGAGGAAGAGTCGATTGTTTTGCATCACTTTCTTATTTTCACCCAGGTTTAGTTCTCATCCTTTTACTGACGAGATGCGAAATTTGTACAGTACACAGTTGATGCGAAGAACAAAGAGGCTAACATAGATGAAGTAAAACACTTTTTTCGTCGATTTGCACTTTTCGCGGTTCAGTGTTTCATTAAAATTGGATTCCAATTTTTACTCCCAATTTTGAGTTTGATTAAAGTGCAAGTTGATCTAGCCGAAGCACTAACATTCACTCCACTGAAATACTTCGAGAAAATATTACCTATCCCGCGTTTAAAATCTGAACACTATGCCGCTTTCTCGTCCTTGTCATCGTTAGCTAGATACGTACCGGAATTATACACACCCACGGCTGCTTGCAAGCGTACGCATTACCCACTGTGCAATTTCAGGCCTTCACCATCTGGCTTCTCGTCCGCATTCGGGGCCCAGGGCCATGGTTGCTCGTTAACAGGATTGTCTGTGGGATTTACCCTGTATGCTGTTCACTACAGCCTTCACGATGAGACTGCACCTTGACGTGGTGTGATGGCCTGTGCACCTCTCTGACCCACCAAGCTACACAGGATGGCTTTTATCAAGCCGCAGATCTAATCATGCCTGGAAGGTCGAAGGGTACAGGTCAGACGAAGTTCAGTCTCCTGGTCCTCCAGGTTGGGGGTTCGACTCGAGTTAGCGTCTCAGTCGGTAAAAGGGCAGAGGAATAATTGGTCCAAGTAAGTGGGCCTCTACTTCGCTTCACTCGCTGCCTTGCGGTCAGGTGCTTGTTAGAACTAAAGGCTTTGGACGAGAACCCAATCGTTCTCCTGCTAAGTGGCTGGACACCCTGGAAGTACCCGTCCATCAAACTCTAATGCATACACAAACAAAAAGTAATTCCATACTGCATCGGTCGTCGCGCAGGATAATCAGGACCGCGCTGTCCATTGCATCGAGCGGGGTAGTTAGGGATAAGTGGGCCACTGCTCAGATATCCCAAACTTTGTTTAACTCTTTGTCTTCCGTTCGCAACCCCTTTACCCTTTACCCCTTCTTCCAACCCGCAGCATTCCCTCAAGCAACTTGTTCATCACTCGCCAAAGTTCGTCGCGAAGTAGCCCGGTAAGTAGTTTACCACAAAATAAATTGCAGATTCTGAATTCTCGTCAGCCGCTGAATCTGGGGGCCTTCAACATGAGAACTTTAATGCAGGTAGGTCAGCAAGCGTATCTGGCGCGTACAATCGACTCTTTGGGGATTGATGTCTTTTGCGTATCGGAGACGCGAATCCAGGATCCTAGTAATATCAACCACTTAAAGGCATCGGGTTGTCTTCGAGGTTCTTCCTTCGCGCGTTAGGTGGCCGTTCAGTAGTCCAGCGTGATGCGGGCATTGTACTGAATGATACAGCCGAAGCCGCACTGCTCGATTGGATCTCCGTCAACGGTCACTTATGTGCGATGCGGCTGCAAGAGTCCATCAGCGTCCGGAAGGGAAACAACACCAAAAGAAGTGGCCACTTCACAAGCACTGATGATGTCACCTCGGCTGGTGGTGAAACGTTTGCAAACAAATTGCGAAGCTCGGCAAACAGGCGAAATGGAATTCATTTCACCTGAGCTACGAGAACCGATTTTCAATATTTTTTCAACAGATGTCTGTTCATCATTTCAGCGTACGCTCCGACGAACTGCTGTTCTGACGCACAAAAGGACGACTTTTATGATGAACTCACCGAACTCATTCGGTTAAGTCGAAGCTCCTATATAGGTGTTCTCGCAGGTGATTTTGACGCTCAAGTCGGAAAACTGAGCGCATCGGAAACTTACCTAGGCGATCATTGTGCTCTGCCCTGCCAGCGAACAGATAATGGTGATCGACTTCTTCAGTTCTGCGCAGATCATCATCTGTTCTTATCTAGCACCAACTTCCGTCACAGCTCTCGACGGACGGCAACGTGGCGCCCCAGTTCAACTGGTACGCTAACTCAAGTCGACCACAGTAGTAGGTTACCGTTGACGTGGCTCAGTGCAAAATTGCAGGTCCTATTGGACCACCTGCGTTGAGTTAGACTACGCATTAGTTTTGATGCAGTTCACTTTCCAACTCACTGGTCACAAAAATCCCACCAAGCACGGTTAGCAAATCATCGCTTATGTGACCCAGCCGTTCGTGCCCGTTTTGAATCAGAACTAGGGCAAGAGCTAAACGCTCGGCGGGGTGGTAGTGTAGATGAACAATGGGATCAGACTAGACGAGCAATGCACTCCGCAGCGAACGTTGTTTGTGGGTCTGAAGCGGTAGCCCGCCCGAGGCATTAAATATCTAATGATTCAGTAGCACTGATGGAGAAAAAGCGGCAAATCCCCAACCCTCGGGATCAAGGCAGGGGTGGGTGGCGTCTGCAACGACTGCTAGAGAAGAGCCTCAAGAAAGATCGTGAAAACTGGTGGGCAACGATAACTAGTGAGATGGAAGTCGCAGCTGCATCAGGGGATAGTCATAGACTGTTCCAGCTGATACGCAACACTGGAGGTCGGAGAACCACAGCTAGTGAGACAATCTAACAATCAAACAAGCTATTCACAATAGGGAACAACGGCTTAACCGTTCGGCGGAGTACTTCAACGAACAGTTCAGATGGCTAGGTGCTAACCAGACTATATCGTCTGTTGTAGTTGCGGCTCCATGGGAAGTGTCATTTGAACCTCCTACTGCAGCAGAAGTTCGATCGTGCATCCAAGCCCTGAAGAAAGGAGAAGCAGCAGGACCAGACGGGCTTCCCCTCACTCTTTTCACATTGGGAGGCGATGACCTCGTAGACTCCATTAGTGAGCTAACGCGTAACATCTGGTCACACGAGCGAATTCCATCATCCTGGAGCGAATCACTGATCGTTCCAATTTTTAAGAAGGAATCTCGCAACGACTGCGTAAGCCACCGTGGAATAAGCTTGATCTCAATCGTCACCCAATTATTAGCCTGCATCATACTTCGACGTCTGACACCGTTTAGGGAGACAAATATCCGCGAACAACAGGCAGGATTTCGACCAGGCGGCGGGTGTGTCGATCAAATCTTTACTCTCCGTCAAGTCCTCGAGATACACCATACGCACTGTCGGCCAACGGTTGTCGTGTTCCTTGACCTAAAAGCAGCCCTCGATTCAGTTGGCCGCGAATCCCATATGGGTTCGCTTCTTCGCAAAGGAACGCCGCAGAAGTATGTGAACATATTGAGTTCGCTCTACTCACATACTTCTGGTAGCGTAAGGGTCGATGGCGAGTTGAGTAGATCGTTCGTAACTAGCAACGGTGTTCGTCAAGGGTGCCCTCTTTCGCTAATCCTGTTCAATTTCGTCATTGACGAAATACTGGAGAACACACTAAGTGGTCTGCAAAATGTAGACATTGAATGGGCAGCTGGAGAAAAGCTGTGCCATTTGGAGTACGCTGACGAAATCGTTTCCCTGTTCGAATCTATGGAGGACGCGCAAAGTACACTTGACGGATTAACAAGTTCTTTCGCTCCGTTCGGCATGTACTTTGCACCTTCAAAGTTCAAAGTGATGCTACAAGACTGGGTGTCGTCGAGTTCTGCTCTGAAACTAGACGGTCAGGAATTGGCTGAAGTTGACTGCTTCTCGTACTTAAATAGCTGCGTAACCAACGACGGTAGCGCATCAAAGGAGATAACCGCCCGTATTTCCAAGGCTCGAGCAGCATACGCAGAACTTGAACACCTGTGGCGGCGACGTGGCGTTTCACCGAAGTTGAAAAGTCGTGTATACTGAGCCACTGCACGATCAATTCTGCTGCACGGTTGTGAGAACTTGAACTTGCGAGTAGAAGACATCGGTCGCTTGGCAGTTTTTGACAATCGATGCCTACGTTGTCTGGTCCAAGTGGGATGGAGTGAGCGATTTAGTCACTTAGAACCAAGTCGTCGGGTGTTTGGGAATTCCTCAAACGAGAACTCGCCATCGCATCGAATCCATCCCAGTAGGCTTCGTTGGTTAGGACACGTGTTGCTTGTGTCCGACGGTCGCCTACCGCAGCGCGCCTTATTCGCAGTGTCCGTTTCAGGCTGAAGAAAGCCACGTGGAGGCCAGCAAATGACGTGGAGACGAGGCATGAAGAAATGCACAAAGCGATTAGGTAGAGTGTGTGTCTCTCGGCTTCCGGGTCGGGGTCCAAAAGACTCCGAAACCGCATGGTTGGAGACACTGAAGACCATGACCGCGAACCGACAGCAATGGCGATCATGGTGTCACTTCTTATCAGGCCAGAATGAACTTGTACGTATGCACAGTTGAACTG